GAGAGAGAGAGAGAGAGAGAGAGAGAGAGAGAGAGAGAGAGAGAGAGAGATTGGGCCACAATCAACTAGCCAACTTTCATGCCTAAGGCAGATCTAGAACTGAGAGTTACCTGATTTCTATCATGATTCCTTAATCGCTAGACCAAACTGGCTACTGGGAGAACTCCAGAATTCAAGTACAGATCTACTGATCATCATGTGAATTAAGAAGAGAGAAAGTAGATCCATCTCAAGTTTTGCCTGTGTCTAATGCTTGAGCTCATTTTAACCATTCTTGAGATCCAAATTGTTAATTACTATTACAGCTGTATTATAGCTGTAAAGCCTGAAGAAAATGTGTTATGTACAAGTTCTTTTTCAAGCAAAATATCATCTACTTACAATTGTGAAATTCATAACTTTGAGAATCCAGATGGTCATGGCAAGATTCACCAGGATTAAAATCATTAGAAGTAGCACAAAAAAATAGAGGCACCTCTTCCGCCAACCATAAATCCCCACTTTGTATACATGTGGTCCTTCTGAGCTCTGCATGGTGCTTCTCTGGGCATACTGTTCCTGAGGCATCTGGAAAAGAAAATATAACCAGACATCATAGGCATAAACTGTAGACATGATGAGAATATGTATTTGTTTATTTAAATGATTTAAATGGCTTCCCATCTCACAACAGTGACATGAAGCAGTATACAAGGATAAAACAATAAACACACTACAAATCTCTAGGTGACCAAGGTTAATACTACAATCCTAATTGCAGGCGTGAAAGGGTAACAGGGTCAGGACAATCCAGGTGTATGGAAGACTGCTTTTTCAAGTGCAGGCACAGTTTGTAGATCCAACAAGATGGTGCCTGGCATATGTGCACTCCAAGATCTGGTGAGAGGAACAGTGGAAGTCCTACAAATAGCCTCTTAGCAAGCGTATATAAAATAAAGCATTTTGGAAATACCTGTGTACTTTTGAGATACCTTTTTTTTTGACTTTGTGACTGTAATACAAATACAGATGCTTTATTACTGAGCTGCAGAAGCGTCATTTTTAAAAAATGTAGGAGCAAAAACATTTATTGTCAAAATAGCGTTATTTATGGTATGGTTATGTTCTCCTTTCTTACTTATTCATTTTTTGCTAAAATGCAAAATAATAATAATAATACAAATCTAAAGAAGAGATGGGGAATAATTTAACTTGATCCGTATTGATCAAATGAATTGACCTAATTCACGCTTGCCAGAATTTTTTTTTTTAAAAAGGACTTGTATGCAATTATTATTCAGATTTCATCACTCTCTGCATTTTGCAATTATATTTTTTGCTAATACAAACATTATTTAAAGAAAAATCTATGTTAAAGGATATTCTGTATGTTATGGAAAATAACGTGGAAGTTAATTGTTTGACGGTTTTTAATTTTTAATTTATGTACTGACCTAGAAATAGAGTAGCATGGATTTGTGAATAAAAAATATATGTGAGATTGATACTAAGCAACAAAAAAGGGGTTGATCTAGTTGTATTTGGGTCAGATGCAACCAGGAAACCAAAGGACTGTAGTAAAGGCTCAAACTGGATGAAACTTTTATGTGAAAATTGAGCAGATAGACCTCTATCCCGAGGTCAGAAAGAAAACAACCATACACCCATCGACTCACAAGGGCCAGAAGGCCTAAGGCTTTAAAGTCTGAAGTAGACATATATGAAGAGCTTGATTTCTGTGTTTTGCAGGGGAGGGAGGCACACTTTCTGTGCAAATACAGCATTTAACACTAAATGAACACTATGAGCCTACAATAAAGCACAATCTACTCATGTCTTCTCTGTGAACTTCCGCTGTAAGCAGATTGCTAAATGTCTGGGCAGTCAAGTTTTATAGTTGAACCTACTAGGAAGTTTGACCATAGCTCTGGATTAGACTGGGAAACAAAATGTGAAACTTCTCTAGGATAGCTTTACAAAGATGCAGTGCAGATGCTATTTCTAGTTCTCCTAGAAATTCCTCTATTAAGTCATTTGTTTCAATAATTTTACTATATATGGTTGTATTATAAACAACAAAATGAATAATCATTACTTAAAAAGAAACAAAACAGAAAAACATCAAAATGTTCAAACATCTAGAAATTGTACAAGATGTTTGCTTATTTCCCCCTTTTATATTGCTCCCAAGCTATTAAATGAACTCAGAATGTTGTTCAGTCTTTACTCTTTCCTCCTTTGGGGAAGAACTCACACTCTTCTTTACTGGCCAGACCTGCTCAGTTTGAGTTAGTTTTAACGGAGATTTTAAGGTTTTCCTTTCCTTTTTAAATTATTTTCAGTTGTCTTAACTGCCATATAGGCAGAAATCCTAAATGAATGTGTGTCCCTTTAAGTTGGTGTTGACTGCTGGTGATGGCCTGGACTGATCTGGACTGTCTGGATTTGGAGGCTTTCTTGGCAATGTTTTGTGGAAGTGGTTTGGCATTGCCTGCTTCTTTTGAGAGCTGGCTGAGAGAGTCTAACTTGCTGAAGTTCCTTCACCTGGCAATGATACAGTTGGACAGATACAATTGGAGGGAGAGCTATGTCTGGTTTGTGTGTTTTTTTGTGTTCACAGAAGTGTTGGAGGACAGGTTAAGAGAGCTCTCATTGACCTTACCAAGATCTTTCACTAAGAAGAATCAGCAGTGGATGAAAAGCAAGAGTGGACCTGTCCTCCCATGCTTTTATGGACCACCCAAAACACACAATTTATACATGCCTCTCTGTTCAATTGTATTTAATTGTATTCAATTACCAGGGACCCCAACCCTCAAAAATGCTAAAGCGTTGGCAAAAAGATTGGAAAACTCATAGAGGGAAATAAATATTCCATCACCTCCCCACTGTAATACCTTCAAAGAATAAAAGATGTGACAATAAATGAAGATGAAACTGTGATCTTTTTTAATGTCACAGCATTCTTTACATCCATAGTCAAATAGGATCCAATCTAAGTTGGTCATTGGGACCACAGGCTTATTCTTCCAAGCTTTTGGACTTGTGCTGGAGCCCAATCTCAGGGAACTCTCCAGGATGTGTGCTAAACAGTCCATGGCAGTTCTACTACACAGTACATCTGCCCTAACCAAACATATCAAGATTCAGATACCAGAATCATGGATATCATCAGCTTTTACCTAACCACATACTTTCAGTTTGGTGGACAAATATATCAACAAATCAAAAGAACCCCCATTGAATCACTGCTGTCATGTCGCTGTTGGAGACTTACTTTGAGGGAGAGGAAGAACAGCCGACAGGGAGTGGAAGTGTGGCTCCTGAGGTTGTGGAGGAGGCTGAGGAAGGGCAGTCAGAGGAGGACTGCAGGGAGGAGAGGATAAGGGAGAAACGTGAATGGTGTGGTCTACGGGGGTGGGGAGGAAAGGCCTTGATCCCTTCATGGGCTGCAGCTGTGAGAACTATTTAAAAGGATGGACTATGCATGAGCCAGGGCTGGAAACAAAGGGTGAAAATATTTCTAATCTGTCCATTCTTACCTGAGTTTGGTGTCTTTCCAGGCCTTCCCAGTGTGTATTCCAATATCTGTGGATGTCTTCAAACCCTTATCTTGCCTGATTTCCTTAATTGCTTCAGTGTGATTTATGTTATGTTTTCTAGTTATAATTTATAGGTATTTTTAGTTTGAAGGGCATGTCCTCCTTTTTACAACTGTTTGTGGGGGAGTTTTTTGTCTCCAGTCAAGGATATTTGGAGCTTTAAAGCCAAGTTGAAAGATTTAAAGGGGCTTCACCTGTTTTTGTGCCTGTGTTTATTTTGTATCCCACCCTGGGTTATCACAACTGCTTTCAGGACTCATAAGAGTGACCACAATACATTGCCTAGATTCTATAACACTCTCACAGATCCAAAGTATGGATGATACATTTGGCATAAAAAAGAATCAACTAGAGAACAGATACAAAATATCTTCAAAGGAATACAATTCATAATAGAAAGAGAAAACAATAACATGCTACTTCCCCTGGATATTCTCATCAGCAGAGACAATGATGGTAAATTAGAAACACATGTCTGTCATAAAACTACCCACACTAACTCAGTGGTCCACTATCAACATAACAACCCAACTTCCCACAAGATAAGTTGTGTAAAAACATGTAAGAACACTATTTAAACAAGTACAAACACCCTGCAACAATCCTGAACATCAGAAAAAGGAAAACGACCAACTATAGAACATCTTTCAAGAAAATGGATATCCATGCAACTTTGCTCGCACAACCCAATGAAGCACAACCAACACAAGCTGTGAAAAGTATAATATTGCTATATATCAAAAACATCTCAGGAACAGCTAACAATTACAACCTCATGGCATCACTGTAGCACTAAAACAAACTAAAGCCCTGCAAAATCAAAAGACCCAGAAAACCTAGAAGAAAATACAGAAGACGTCTACAACATACAGTATAAGGACTGTAACAGCCAGTATAAGGGATAAACAGATATCCATGAACACCAACCAGCAATCAGAAGACATGATGAACATTCTTTAATTTCACAAGACATGGATACAAATTAACACCAAGATTTACACTAGACCAGCAATCAAGAAAAAAAAACAATTTCTCAGTCAAGGAACTACCAAACTCTGACATCAAGCTAACAACAAATAACATCCTAATCAAGGAACCAAGATCACTCTCACCAACACTGAGAAAGCAGGCCACTAGTATATAAAATGAGAGCAAACCCTTTTCTAGCACTGATGATGTTACCTACCATGTTTTCCCGAAAATATGACCTACCTCAAAAACAAGGCCGGGCTGTAATGGTCCTAGGGTAGGTGGTTAAGACATCCCCCCAAAATAAGACCTGGCTTTTGGGGTCCAAAAGAAAATAAGAGAGGGTCTTATTTTCAGGGAAATGTAGTAGTTTGATAATGAAATGTCTGCAAGAAAATAACCACATTCAGAGAACATCAAGGACCTTACATATAGAAGTCCTAACAAAAAAAAATAGTGAACCATCTACTGCAATTGCTTGAACTCTGAATGAGGCTTGAACATGCCGTGCATTTCACATACTAGTGCTCCCTATCACAGCAAAGATCATTAACTAATGTTAAGATAAATAAAGTAATATATGTTACCATTGAAAGAAAGGATCCCATAAGGCAATAGGACCATCATCATTATATTGTGTATTAAGTAAGTGCTATTGTTGCCTGAAACATGCTGCACATTAGAAAGCAAAGGATGGGTTCCGATGTTACTATCCACTTATTGGTGTTTAGCCCATTTCTTTCCCTGACTGCAATTTTGAACTTTCAAAGTCCAGAGGGAGGGTGAATGAGGAGCTTCAGATGGAATAGAGAACACCCTATAGTGTAAGTAAATATCCAGATGTACAACAGTTAATAAAATAATGAATCAATTTTGTTGCTGTAGTGAGGTAGAATTCAGATTAAAATACTGCAGAAATATCTGAAAATTAAAAACATATGAACCCCAACATCTGAAACAGCATCCATTCTATTCTTTTGAAATATGACGTGTGGAAATATAGGTAACAGTATTTAT